TCTTTTCTATTTTCTGTTTATTGAAATCTTTTATTCTCAATGTTACATTGTATCAAAGAAAACTCCACTGCAAATATCTATATCTCAGTGGTATCGTCTTGTTCATTAACATTGTTGATGTGATGTTGACAATGTTTTCAAGCTGAAAGCACACCGTCGGATGTGCACTCGTCTTTACCTCAGTTTTGAATCGAAATATTAATAGCGTTTGTCTGTCCTGATAAATTATGAAGGTAATCTAGTCCTAACAAACTGTTAACTTAGCCATTTATTGAAGTGGAAAAAATTACCATCAGTGTTTAATTACTGTAGCTCTTTTCAATATGTCTGCATTTGTAATCAGTGACCAGCAGGCCATTCAAAAGCCTAGGGCATCCCAGCTGACACTGGGTGAAGGTCCATCAAGGGCTGAGACACAAACACTCACGCGCTCACTTGTGTGAATCAGGTTGCAGTCATTAGCTATTGCTAGCACGCCTGCAAACACGGGGAATTATGCCCGGACAAGAGGTCAACCTTTAAGTTGCCCCTCTTATTCATTTCAAATCCAATGTGCATAGATAAAAAACAGAAAAAGGTGTCACTGTCCTATACTGTATGCAGCTTAAAATACAGCTGTGTGATGCTCTTATACTGCAACACTGACAGTGTGGTTCACAGAGACAAAGTTTGACAGTGCAACATATGTACTGTATACGTGTATGTTTTATGTCTGAGAGAGGGGAGTTTTTATGACCTCTGTTCAAATTGCTCACTGATCACTGACAGTGATGTGTGGTCAGAGCTGCTGTATTACACCACTGGGACAGGCATCTGTGATCTACACCTTCATTTCCATTCAATGTGACACTGACAATCTTTTCTTCACCATCCACTGCCCACACCGCCCGTATGTGTGAGAGAAAGTGTGTGTGTGTGTGTGTGTGCGCGCGTGTGTGTATCCTCAGTCTGTGCTGCAATCCTGTTTGCCTAGAGGCTCCCTAACTCTCTTTCTGTGAAATAAAGGCAGGTGTTGCTTGCATCACAAGGCCAGACCAAATGCACTGTAAATAGATTTGACACACACAAATAGCAGAGAGGACGATGCAGATTGTGCTTGCGGTATAGAATTCTAATGTCCTTCCAGCATGTGTTATCAGGCACCGCTTCGAAGGAATGGAGAGAGTATATTACCCCCTGTGGTGCATGTATGTGTGGGCAAGCCTGCGTGTCACTAGTTCGCTTTTCCATTAGAGATGGTGCCTTTTTTCCAAGACTGTTCCTTGTGGTCATCATGAAGCCTCTATTTACCAGTCGTCCACCTCTAGAGATAGCCTGTCATTCAGAGTGATTGACAGCCAGTCTTTTAAAAGAGAGAACTTTCAGTCATAAGCCACATACAGTACCACTGCCTGTGTGTGGCTTTTACTCTAGTTCAGTTAAAACTGATGCTGCAAGTAAAGTGCAAGAGTTAGTTTTTAAACAGCTGCGCTTGTGAATTCTGACCATTTCTGAAATAGTAGACACTGGTTCTTCAGCAGTCAGTTCCAAACTTGTTTTTAAATTGCTGTCTGTAGTTGAATACTGATTCTACATAGTTTCTAACATTACAAGGAAGCTCTCTGTCCTCTTTGATTCAGGTGTGGAATGAAAACACTCCACTTGGAAACAATAGAATGAGAATACAGACCCTTTTGTTATTAGTAAGCAGATATCTTTCCTTTCCTATAAAGTAGAAATTCTTCCTTGGTATTCTAAAGAGCTTGGAAAGAAAAGCATCTGGACTTCTCTAGGTTTCTTGAACATGTTTCACCTCTCATCTGAGAAGCTTCTTCAGTTCTAAGAGCAATTGGTGGAGAGTCCCAGATTTTAAGCCCTGTGGGAGTGTCCCCAAGAGGGTCATGGACCCCCTATTGATCCTCTGCCTAATCACACGAGCAAAGGTGTGAAAATGGGTGTAGGTCACAGTTTTCAGTTTTATTTGTCATATGCAAGTTA